CTAACCCAGGGGGGGTAACCCGATGGACGTCCATCAGCATTAGGGTTCGGCCCGATGGGGTTTAGCGGCCGGGGAAAACTCGCGCTAAGTTCATCCATTTAGATTAAAAAGGTCATCCATCTATATCTCCCATGGGCGTTCCTGGGCTTTAAAAATCAGATGGCGTGAACGGGCGGGCACTTATTCTTCAGGTAATTAAAAAGTAGAAGCCACATAAACGTAAGATGAAGCTATAGCATGGGTGTAAAGGCAGCCAGGTTTTACCAGGTTTTATTAGGGTATGCTGCCACGCGGGACGGGATGAGAGGTATAGCGCGGGATAGAGACAGCGCAAGAGTAGTAGAGAGTAGTAATAGGAAAAAGTAAAGCAAGAGTGAGCTAGATTCCTCATGCAGCAAGCTGCCATGGGAACCACGAATATAAATGTTTATTTATAATCAGGGAAGGTGATTTTTTTAAGCCCATTAATACCCATGCCCATGCCCATGTAGATGATCCATCCCACATGACTTCCACGCATTTGATTTCAGTTGGTTATTTAATTTATTAATTTTGTTTTATACCATGGAGAACTAGTTATTTGAGAAGATCCCTAGCTTGCAGATTATCATTTGCCGCGCGTGCTAGTATGGTATACGACCAGTAGATGTCTAGCAGCATTTAAAGCGGCGACATCAGTATAGTCACGACGCAGCCAGCCAGGTGGCCCACGCCATTTACTAGTGGGGGGATGTCCAGCAGGATAGCCAGGCCATCCAGATCCCCCGTGTATTAGACGACCCACTGCCCATATTACCATGCCACGCCCATGGGTTATTATGCCAGCGAGACCCCACGCAGTGCCAGTACGTGGCTACTAACCCAGGGGACGTAATGGGATGGGCCCTCATCAAAATTAGGGTTCGACCCCTTTAGGTTTAGAAGCCGCGGGAAAACTCGCGCTAAGTTCACCCATCTCATTTAGAAAGGTCACCCATCCATATACGCGCTGGTGGTCGCTTCGCTTTAAAAACTAGCTTGCGTGGAAGGGCGGGCACTTATCTTTAGGTAGCCAAAAAGTAGAAGCCGTGTGGACATAGAATAGTGGCGTGGTGTAGGTATAAAAGTAGCAGGTTTTGTTAGTATACGCCGCCATCCGCAGGAGACGGGAACGGGAACGGGATGGGATGAGAGGTATAGCACGCGGGATATAGTAAGTAATTATAGAGTATCCATTATTACATGTTATGCATGCATACAAGCTGCCATGGAAACCAACCATGAATAATGTTATTATTTGTTAATACCCATGCCCACAATACCCATGCCTAATGCCCGTGCCCATCCCATGATTAATTTAAACCATTAAATAAATCGACAAGTTATTCAATTTGTTTTAAGACCATGGAGAGCCAGCTGTTTGAGAAGATCCCCAGCTTATAGATTATTATTTGCCGCCCATGCAAGCATGCCGTACGGCCCGCGGACGTCCAGCAGCATTTAAAGCGGCAGCATGGGTATAATTACCAGGCAGCCAGCCAGGTGGCCGACATGGTACACCAGTGGGAGGACGTGCAGCAGGATAGCCAGGCCATCCAGATCCCGCGTGTATTAGATCACCCACTGCCCATTTTACCATGCCACACCAATGGGGTTTTGTGCCAGCGTGACCCCACGCAGTGCCAGTACGTGGCCGCCAGCATGAATTCCATGCGGAAGCACTGGCAAGCCACCCACAAGTGGTCACGGCAGGCCCGCCGTGGCCGCGTGGGCCAGCGGGAGAAGGCACGCAGCGAGGCGGAGCTCGCGAGGTCGTTCAGGCAGGTGGCATGGCAGCAGGCGTTCCCATCCAGCCCCGGGTCCCATTACATCCACATCCAATACCCAGATGGCCGCCAGAGCCCACCACCGCCCGCAGAGCAGGCCCAGCAGGCCATGGATGCCATGGTCATCGCATGGGAGCGGGCGCGGGCGCGCGAGGTAGAGCAGGCCACCATCCAGGCAGATAAGGCCATGGATGCCAACCCATGGCTGCGCATAACGGGGTGGGCAAGGTATTTAGACGGCGTGCACCCGCAGGATTTGCGCCAGCTAGTGGAGGCGCCCGTGGAGGTAGCCGAGGGGGAGGTAGAGGAGGTAGAGGAGGCAGAGGAGGATCCCATAGAGCAGGCCATGCGGGTGATTTGAGACGCCATGGACCAGCTGGCGCGGCGCAGCCAGCAGACCGTGCAGCAGTGCGGCGCGGGCATCCGCGTGGAGGCGGCCCGTACGGAGGCCGGCCAGACGCCATACAAGCCATTGCAGGCGTACATGGACGAGGCCAGCATTAAGAAGCACGTGCAGCCATGGCAGCAGGTGCTAGCATTCATCGCGCGCACGCAGGCCGCCCAGGCAAGCCCAAGCCGGGATAGCCGCCAGGATAGCCAGGATAGGGATGATAGTGATGGTGGTGACCATGGCAAGTGGCTAGGGAGGTTACCCGCGTATGGGATGACCCCGCGGCAGCGCCAGAAGTGGCAGGTGTTATGGCAGCTAGCCATGCCAGCCGTTAAGAGGCCCGAAGCAGAAGCCCAAGCTAGTGGCCAAGCGCGTGCGCAAGCCCGAGTCAGGGCAGGGGTGAGGGTGATCCACACATTCGCCGGGGCAGGCCAGATCATTGAGGACGTGTGGAGTGCCAGCCCCAGCCTAGGTAGCAGCCCAACCGCGATGGAGACGGACGAGGAGACGGGCATGGATAATAAGGATGGGGTCCAGGCTGCAGATGCAGAGGAGGTAGAGGCGTAGCAGATAACCCCCATAGAGCAGGCGTGCTTGGAGTTTTGCATCGAGCTAATAAACCAGCGCCACCGCACGCATGAGTACGAGAGCGCGCTGGTGTGCGCCATGGCCGTGCAAGGGTGGGGCGAGGCGCGCTAGCGCGATCCCAGCAGTTACCCGCCCATATTATCCCGCGTGCTCAAGGTGGCGCGCTTCATGGTGGTGCAGAAGGCGTTATAGTTAGATCCCCATGCGAAGGAGATCATCCGCATGTAGACGGGCCATCGGCAGCCAGGCAGCAGAGGCAGCAGCCCCAATACATGGCCGTTGACCAGCGCCGACGACCAGCTGGTGGATATCCATATCCATCCAGGGGATCCAGCCCAAGGATCGCCATCAGGATCACCACCAGGATCAGGATCAGGATCAGGATCAGGGTTAGGTGGGAAGCTGTTCCACGACCATGTCCAGCAGATGGTGCGCAGCTTCATGATCCGCGGCACGCACGGCCCCATACAGACGTTGCTAGATTAGCGCACGTACGGGTTAAAGGTGCATTACAACACCACCACGCCAGGGCATGTGGGATGGATGGGCAGCGATGAGTTATTATACAAGGACGTGCATTTCACCATGGGCGCGTTCCGCGGGTTCGTTCATGGGTTGGTAGGATCCGCGCGTGAGCTGCTGCGGGAGGTATTATATATAACCCCAACCGCCACCACCACCAGCACCACCAGCACCACCACCAGCAACACCAGTAATAGCAACACCACCACCGATTTCCCACCCATCCCATGGTCCGGATTGTACGACGACCCCACGCAGGGCCAGAAGGGGTGGTGTTTTTTGCAGGATACGCGCACGCGGTGGCTAGTAGATGGGAAACAGTGGTTGATCCAGCAGCTGCGCAGCGAGCCCGCCATGCAGCGCCAGTTCATGCGCTGCGGCCAGATACAGGCCCAGCTAGTAGCGCAGTATTTAGCCCGCGTGGCCCGGTTCAAGGAGAAGCTAGCGGTGGCCATCCACATCACAGGTAGCCAGCCCGCGCGGGCGCCCGAGCTATTGAGCATCCAGCATGTTAACACGCAGGCTAGCCGCCACCGCAATATATTCATCGAGGATGGGCTGGTGACGGCGGTGACGGCGTACCACAAGGGGTTCCACGCGAGCAATGACATCAAGCTGATCCACCGGTACATGCCGCGGGCGGTGGGGGAGTTGATCGTGTGGTACATGTGGTTGGTGTTGCCGTTCACAGAGCAGTTGACCGCGTGGCAGGCAGCGCAGCAGCAGCAGCCGCAGCAGCAGCCGCCAGCGGCGCAGCCAGTAGCCCAGCCACCGGCAGGCAGGGCATTAGGGTTAGGGTTTGATAGGGGAAGGGAGGATGCCCAAGCTCGCGCGCCCAGGGTAGGGTTAGCCCGCCCATCCAGCCAACCCGCAGGCGCCGCCGCCGCCGCCGCAGCATCAGGGTTAGGGTTAGGGTTAGCCAGCCCGTATTTAT